TCAAATGATATTATATCACATCAGGTACAGTATAAGAACTTTACAACAGTGTACTTCCATTTCCCCTCTGCTGGCCTTTATGTTATTGTTTTCATATGTGTTATAACCCCACAATACATTGTTATTTGTTTTGTTAAAACAGTCAGCTATCTTTTAAAGACATTTAAAAAATAAGAAAAATCATCTTATTTATTTACCTGATAGTTACCATTTTCAATGCTCTTCTTCCTTTGGGTAGATCCTTATTTCCACCTGGTATCACTTGCCTTCTACCTGCCTGAAGGAACTACTATAACATGTCTTGATGGTGATGAAAATTTTCAGTTTTTGTATGTCTGGAAAAGTATTTCATCTTCATTTTTGAAAGATATTTTTGAAGAGTATAGAATTCTAGGTTGATGGTTTCTATTTTTTCTTGCAGCATTTTAAAGGTGTTTCTCCACTGTATTCTTGCTTACATTGTTGTCAAAGAGAATTCTGGTATCATCTTTATCTTTGTTTTTCTGTACCTTTTTTCTTTGATCACTTTTAAGATTTTCTCTTTATCATTGGTTTTGAGCAATTTGATTATGATGATGAAGTAAATCAGCATTCATGGTGTTAAAAATCAACAATAAAAAGACAAATAACCCAATCTGAAAATGGGCAAAGCATTTGAATTGACATTTCTTGAAGAAAATATAAAAAGAGCCAATAAGCACTTGAAAAGATGTGCAACATCATTAGACATCAGGGAAATACAACTCAAAACCATAATGAGATACCACTTCACATACAGTAGCATGACTGAAATTAAAAAAGATAATGTCAAGAAATTGAAACCCACATTGGTGGTGGGAATGTAAAACTGCACAGCTCCTTTGCAAAATAGTTTGGCAGTTCCTCAGAAAGTTAAATATAGAGTTACCAAATGATCCAGCAATTCCACTCTTAGGTATATACCCAAGAGAAATGAAAATATATGTCTACACAAAAACTTGTGCGTGAATGTTCATAGCAGCATTATTCATAATAGACAAAAGAGGGAAACAATCCAAATGTCTATCAATTGATGAATGAATAAACAAAATTGCTATATATACCCAACATTACTGTGAGTATTATTGAGCCATAAAATGAAATGAGGTACTGATAAATGTTACATTGAGCCATCAAGGACAAACCTTGAAAACATTATGCCAAGTGGAAGAAGGCAATCACAAAAGACTATGCAACATATGTAACATGTTGTATGATTCCATCTGCATGAAATGCCTGTAACGGGCAAACCCATAGAGACAGAAAATGGATTAGTGGTCCAGGGGCTGGGGGAAGGAGGGGATGGAGAATAGTTGCTCATGGGTATGGCGTTTCTTTTTTTTGTGAAGAAGATCAGCCCTGAGCTAACATCCATGCCAATCCTCCTCTTTTTGCTGAGGAAGACTGGCCCTGGGCTAACATCTCTGCCCATCTTCCTCCACTTTATATGGGATGCTGCCACAGCATGGCCTGATAAGCGGTGCATCAGTGCACACCCAGGATCCGAACCCAGGCTGCCTGCAGTGGAGCGCGGGCACTTAACCACTATGCCACAGGGACCGGCCCCTTGGTGTTTCTTTCTGAGGTGATGAAAATGTTCTGGAGTTAGATATTGGTGATAGTTGTAGAGCTTTGTGAGTAGACTAAAAACCACTGAATAGTATGCTTTAAGAAAGTGAATATTATGGTATATTAATTATATATCAATAAATCTGTTATTAAAACAAAGGGAGGGACCTAGGGTGCAAAATATAAGCAGGCACTGGTTCTCAGGGTCACGCAAGTGCAGGGGTTGGCACCTAAGAGTGCGTGCCTCCTTAAACGTGTCCTAGTCACCTGGCTTACCTCACCCTAATTCGGGCCCTCAGGAGAATGCACTAAAATAGGAATCTGTCACTCCACCTTTGCTTGTTTCCTGAAAGTGGAAAAGCCCAGAATTTCAAGTTCTCTTCGCCTCGTCCCCAGGTGCCCCAGGTGTTATTTTTGCGCCAGAGGCACCGCGAGCTTCCAGCCAGGCTGGGCTATCAGTTTGAAAATGCTTTCCCTTTCAGAACTTGGCTTGGATTCGCCATGGTATCGGCAAGAAGAGCGCGCCTCCAGCCCATCCCGTGTCCCCGTGCCCCCGTGCCCCCAGCGGGGGTCCGGTGCGTAACTGTGGGTCCCACAGGTGAGGCGGGGGCGCGCGGGGCTGGGCGGGGACGTCCTCGACCCGGGCCCTGGGGGAACGGAGAAGGCGCGGCCCCTGGGCTCGCCCTCACCCGGGCCACCGAGGGCTCCGCCCACGCCGGGCCCGGCCGCACGCAGAGGGCTGGAGCTCCGCGGCCCCGCCCCCACGCCGAGAGCGGGCGCAAGATCCGCGGGGGCCGGAGACCTGAGTGCGGACCCACGGCGCGCGGCTGCAGCAGGCGGGTCTGCGCTTCGGGTCGTCGGGATCCAGGCTCAGAGGAGATCCAGGCCACAGCAGGAGCGCGGCGGTGCCGAAGGTGGCACGGGGGCTGGGCTGGGTGTGGTTGGGGGAAGCAT